AATCTTGGGTATTATCACTGAGAAGGCAGAAGGAAGCAGATAGTTGTCATTTTTTTTTGGCAGAGAAAAAAGTGATGCTAGAGAGACATGGCTGGAATTAGTACTTTCTAGAATCTGCACTGTGCAATTTGGTAGCCACTAGACACATGTGGCTGTTTAAATTTAAATTAACTAAAATGAAATAAAACTTAAAATGCAGTTCCTCAGTCATATTAACTACATTTCAAGTGCACAGTGGCCACATGTGGCTGGTGGCTACCACATTGGACAGTGCAGATCTAGAATACTGCCATCACTGCGGAAAGTTCTGTTGGATGATGTGCATCTAGAATCATCCTCAAGTTCCCCCAAGCAAAATGTCGAACCAGTTTGGGATGAGGTTAGGGTGGCCCTGATTTTGTGAGTTTATCAGGTTATTCTAGTGTTTCGTACTCCATTGTTTGAATTCTGGCCTGGCCATGTGGGCCGAGGATAATAGATGAATTCCTCTTATGTTTCCAGGACTTGAATGAAAATAGTCAAAACCTAGTCTTTATAAGCAGTTCTTGTTAAACAGAATTTATTTTAATTCTTGTTAAACAATTTTTTTTTCTCCTAGCAGAGGTTAGTTGAAAGAATAGAGGGGGCTAGACTTCATTTGGAAGCTTTTATTATGTTTGGCTTTATTTTCTTCATTGTAGGACAAGGCACACTTAAGCCTTTTCTCTTACCCATAGGGTTCCTATTTCACCTAGGCTGCTAAAATCCATATGTTTTATCTTTACCTCGTGGAAGCCACTTACAAAGGCAATACACCTGTTTCAAAATTCACAGTAGAGAAAGGAGAGACTGTCCATGGCAGGTATGAACTGCCGTGCTCTAAGCCATCCTGCCCGCCGTGCCCTTCAGATCACATCATCTCGTTGCTCCTGCCCCACAATAGCCTCTCTGTGGTTAGGCAGAAGGCTGCTGTGTCACCAGGCTTTCTGGTAGGCTGTCTGGGAGACAGACTGGTAACCAGTGCTCTGCCCCTCTCTCTGAGGCTTTACTGGGGAGCTCATCTATGCAAATTAGTCTGCCATGAAGTGGCTCCATGCGGCTGTAGAATCCACAGAACAAGACCTAATGTTGGATTCCTAGCTGTTGGTCTTACAGATCTGACACCATATAGAGGACATTTCTCTATGGAACGTACATTAGAGACTCTCAAATCAGGTGAGAGTTAAAGATGAACAGCTAGGAATTCAGTGTGACCTCTCCTCTACCACTTCAGTATGTTAGACACTTTGGGAGCACTGAGGCTCTCGTGTGACCTCTGTGGGTAGTCCTGGGACCCCAGAATATTTCATTTCCAAAAAAATCTCTGTGAGGTTTGTTGCTCAAAAGTCCCTGGATAGGGGCTTCCCTGGTGGTGCAGTGGTTGAGAGTCCGCCTGCTGATGCAGGGGACGCGGGTTCGTGCCCCGGTCCGGGAAGATCCCACATGCCACGGAGCGGCTGGGCCCGTGAGCCATGGCCGCTGAGCCTGCGCGTCTGGAGCCTGTGCTCCGCAACGGGAGAGGCCACAACGGTGAGAGGCCCGCGTACCGCAAAAAAAAAAAAAAATCCCTGGATAATGTCCAGCTATGAGGTCAAGCCTCCAGGCCTCAGAAACTCCTGCCAGAAATTGACCTCTAGACACAGCAAAGTCAATCTAATTCACTACAAAGATTCCATCAAACCTCAGGCCTGTGGGGAGGAAATCTGGTGCCAGGTACACTATAGGTTTTAAGAGTGCTCAGAACAGGGCCTGGCTTGGTAGGCACTCAGTAAATATTTGCTGAATGCATGAATTCATCTCGTGGTTTTTAAACTTTGCCTTCAGCAAAATATGGGGTGACTGTTCCCTTTCCTTCTGTGTCTCCTCACCCCCATCCAGGGGGCACGCACCTTGGCTTAGTGCTCGGCAAGCCTGGAGTAAAACAGAGTGGAGGCTGCCAGTATGTCTGTGTTGTCTTCTATTCCTCCTTTCCATTAGTCTCTTTTCTCAAGATATATCCTGGGCATCACAGGTGGAGAAGCGTGAGGGAGAGGAGGAAAAATAAGGCACACATGGGGCTTTGCACATCCACTGTCTGCTCATCGGAGTCAGCGCCCTGGTGCCAGACAGCAAATAACACACGTGGTCAAGGCCATTCAGCACCTCTCTTCAAGCTCAAATCAGACCTGCTGAAAGCTGTGTTCTCTATTTGGCTTTTATGGTCCCAGCCACTCTTTGCAATATTGGAGGGAACAAGGAAAGTAGAGAATTTTCCTGGCATCTTTGTCTCCTCCTCCGCTGCCCCATGTTATCCGTGTCATCAGTGCCACAGTTCTCTGCCTTACAATGAGGAAGGTTCAAGGATAAAGAATTAACAGATACATAGGGCAACAGTTGGTATATTGCTAAGCCAAGTCAGCTTACCCTAGTGCTTTCATGGATTTCGTTATAAGTGGATTGTGCCACCTTGCTTTTTCTTTCTGTCTTCAGTTGCTGATCTCAAACGTGTGAGTTCTCAGGTCATCTGTGCTGCAGGAGGATGCGGGGCCACCAGGATAGAAAGTTAATGATATGCATGCTGAAATATTTAGGGGGAGTGTATGGATGTCTGTGACTTTATTTGAATTCATCCAAAAAATAAGGTGGATGATAGAGAGAGGGCTAGGTATGTAATAAAGAAAATACAGCAAAATGTTAATGGTAGAATCTAGGTGAGGGGTATACAGGTATTCACTATAAATTCTTTCAAAACTTACCTGGATATATGAAAAATTCCATAACAAAAGGTTAGGAAATAAAAGCAGGTCAGAGGGGAGTAAGGAAGCAGCTGAGAGGAAGAGGCCTGGGACGGCAGGACCCACCTTTTGCTACCTGGGACCATCTGGTGCAGGAGGGTGGACAGTTTGCCCGCTGCTGCCGTTCCCCAGAGATCTTGCTTAAGGTGTCAGCACACAGGTTGATTGCCCAGCCTACCCCTGGGATCTGATGTAGTGTATGACCTCTTTCGCACGACTTTTGCATGACAGCCTTCCCCTTCTTTTAGCTAACCACTCCTTCCACCTTGGGAAGATGGTCGGCCTCTTGGCTACTCTCAGCCAGCCTGGCCGCTATGGTCCAAGCTAATACTCTCTGTTTTTCTCCTTGTCTTTCTCTCTGATGACTTATAGAGTTGGTGTTGATCCAGATCAAGACCCACCACCCAACAATGACAGCTTCCAAGTCTTACAAGGGGTAAGTCACAAGAGATGCTTTTTCCCAGGGAGGTGTTATTAAAAATAGCTAAAATTTATTGAACGTTTACTACACGCCAAGCAGTTTACGTGGATTCCCTCATTGTGGTCTTGACAACAACCTTATGAAGTAGGAACTGTTATCCCCAGTTTACAGATTAGAAGCTGAAGTTTGAGAGTTGAAGTGAGTCATCTAAGGTCAGAGAATTAGAAAATGATGGAGGCAGGATTTGAGTCCAAAGTCCCTGGTCTTAACATATTAAGGGGCCAAAAAGTGTGTTTAAGCTGACTCCCTACCTTCCAAGAATGGATATATGGATACATCGGTGATTGGCTCACGGTAACTGGTTCTGGGAAGGAGAGGGATGTGATCAACTCTGCAGCCCAGGGAATATGAGCAAGAGAGGAGGGACGCTGGGTGACGGCGCGCCAGTAGCACAGCAGCAGCCCTCAGCCCCATAGGCGATGAAGGTCACAGCAAGGCTAATGGTTAAGGTTTGGGCAGGATCGTGGTGGCAGTGACAGCCTGGAGTGGAAGCTGTAGAAGCAGGTGAGGGCAAGAGCACTATGGCCACATCTCGTGTGACAGCAGGGAAGAGTTCCTGCTGCCACAGAGAATCCTGATGGAGACCGGGGTGGGGCGGGAGTGGGGATGGTGGGGGAAGAGGCGCGTGCTGGTCCTTGGTTTTGCCGTCTGCTCCGGTCACTCGCAGCATAATGCACTGCCCCAAACATAGGAAGGAAAGTGAACAACAATTTCGTATCCACATGCATTCTCTAGGTTTGGAAAGGGCATAGTCGGGACAGCTTGCCTTTGCTCCATGAAGAAACCTGGGGGTAACTCAACAGCTGGGAGCTGGAATCATCCAAAGGCTCATTCGCTCATATGTCTGGCGCCTGGGCTGGGAGGACTCAGACTAGGACCAGCGACTAGAATGCCTGTGATGGCTTCTCCATGGCCTCAGGGTATAGGACTTCTTATGTGATGGCTCAGGCTTCCAAAAGCCCGTGCCCCAGCAAGCAGGGTGGATGGAGACTGTGTGGCCCTTTCTGGCCTAACCTTGGGAGTCACACAGCATCACTTCCATGACTTTCTCTTGGTTACAACAAGTTGCTAGGGCCAGCCCAGATTCAGTGGGAGGAGATAGAGACCATCACCTCTGGATGGGAGGAGCATAAGCGAAGTGGCAGCCATGTTCTAAAGCTGTTGTATCAGCCCTGTTGTGGGGCTGGTGGGCTCATTCTGCCTCCAGGTTTTTGTTTTTGTTTTTGTTTTTTCTTTTTGCTGTGCGCGGGCCTCTCACTGCTGTGGCCCCTCCAGCTGCGGAGCACAGTCTCCGGACGTGCAGGCCCAGTGGCCACGGCTCACGGGCCCAGCCGCTCCGCAGCACGTGGGATCCTCCTGGACCGGGGCACGAACCCATGTCCCCTGCATCGGCAGGCGGACTCTCAACCACTGCGCCACCAGGGAAGCCCTGCCTCCAGGTTTTGCTCTTTCCCCAGGCCAGCATTTCCTGGGCAGGCAAGGTGGGGGAAGGGAAAGTCACGCACGATAGGAGCAGAGATGTGTTTCCAAAATGTTATTATTTGGCCTTGGGAGTGAAGAACTGTTTTGTTCAGCATAGAATACCCAGTGCTGAGCACAGTGCCTGGTCCATGGGGGGCCTGATCGGTATTTGATGGGAAGATGGGGGAGCGAGAGCAGCACAGGGCATGGGAAGCTTCACTCACCATGTGCATGTGTTGTCCACAAAGCCATGTTGAGTGTTTCTTTTTCTTTCAGTCAGCTTTGCATCACACTCATCATTGCACTTAATCCCAAATCCAGTCTGCACGTCTTAGATTCCCTAGGATCTTCTAAATGACTCCAGCTGCCAAATCTGATTTAACACATCGCGCAAAATGTGGTGCCGTGTGGGGCCCAGGGGTGCCACCACAGCTTTCTCTGAGGGTGGTTACAGCCTGATGAGCCATTCTTGGGTTGATGCCCCTTAAGGGGCACAAAGCCATGACCTCTGAAAGTTCTAGGCATTTTGGGAAGAGCTTTCAGTGAGCTTCACTTGGAGATTTGGTGCCCACTTTAATGGTGCTCCAGAAGACCTTTGCGGCTATATTAGAATTGGCCATTGTGCCATTTGGGACCATGTGGTTTCAATGAGAAGCTTTTTTTGAAAAGTTGCTATTTGACTTGAGGTTTGATTAAGGACTTTAGAAAACAGGGGTTCAGGAACTGTGCACCTGGCAGCCAATTTAGAGTCTGACAGTTTGAGTCCCCCCAAACTGGGATCTGAGGAAACCTGGGTGAAATTCATGATGGACATCCTCATTTCACCGAAGGGAAAATAATGGCTCTGGTAGGATACACATCCTCCATAGACCTGTGGCCAGTCAAGTTAATTTTGTAAGCAAAACAGTTGGATATCAAGGGTCTGGGGCAATTTCATCTTGACAGTTCCAAGTTGGTCAACACCGCCCCCCCCCCCGCACCCGGCCATTTTGCTGTTTTCCATTGCTCCTGCCTCTGGACTCAAGCATCTGTGAAAGGAAATACGTGAAATGGTTCGGTTGGTTTCATGTAGCTGAACTTACTATGTCTCAGAGACAGTGGGCTTGTAACTAGACTTAGTAACAAACTTGCTGTGGAAATGTTTGAAAAGCAGTGGGTCCTAAATGCTAAGGGTTCTGGCAGTGCATTTAGTCCATGCAGTGATAGTTAAGGTAGCGCCCCCAGCCTCAGGCAGGGCAAACATTGGAAACCGCCCTTTGGGCCAATTTTGACCAGGCAGGTGGTAGCCACTTCCACTGCACTCCCAATGGCGCCCCTTTGGCCGGCCCTGGTCAGGAGCTGTGTCACACCTTTGCTTTAACCGCCCTCCTTCCAAACCTCATACGCAGTCATGCAGAGGGCCCTCAAAGGCAGTTCTGTTGGCATTTTGAAAGTCTTTCAAGATTGCTGTCAGAGGGAAGAGATATGGGAACATATGTATATGTATAACTGATTCACTTTGTTATAAAGGAGAAACTAACACACCACTGTAAAGCAATTATACTCCAATAAAGATGTTAAAAAAGAAAAAGATTGCTGTCAGACTGGGAAAAAAAGGTGAACTTCAAGTTCAGTTCTTCAGGACACCTTCTGAAAAATGACTCATGCCCTCATGCAGAAAGGGCCTCATTTCTCCAAGTCCTTCTGGCCTGACTTCTTGATCCAGTAAGCCATTAACAACAGGGCTGGGAGCACTCAGTGGTCATGAGAAACCAGTAAAACAGAGAACTAAATGGGCTTCTCAGTTTGGGGTGAAACCCTGGGTTCCTTGCAGCTTCCGCTGAAATGGATCCAGGTCACATGCTCAATGTTGTCATGAAACTGAAATCAGAGGTGGGGGAAGTCCAGATGTTTGTTCCCCATCTTGCTAAAAGCGAACAAACAAACAAAAAAGTGATATTTGATGGGAAAGCACAATTTATAAGGAGCACGATTTTCCTCACCGGTCCTAGAAGCCCAAGGTTGTAAACAGAGTCATGGTTACAGAGCCACAGAATATTAGCTCATGTGGGCGAAAGAAGGGAGCTGTTGGCCAGAACTTTTGGCTCTATGTGAGGGAAGCATAAGAATATTGTGGATAGACTTCAGCTTCATGTCCCTGGCAAGTTTGACTCATTACAACAAAACAAAACAAAAGACTCAGCTGCTTTGTTTCTGTGGAGGTCTTGGTGACTTTGCAACCAAAACAAAAACAAGCCCAGCTGGAGGCAAGCTGCCTGGGCCTGGGGGTGGCCTCCCAACCCATTCAAGGGGGCATTTTTCATGCCAGATGCAGCTGAGATTTATGTTGGCCGGACACGCAGACACATCATTCACTTCCTTCCCCAAGTTTACAGAAGCGCATTCAATGATGAGGCCGCTTTGGAGTAGGCAGGAACACGAATCTGAATGTATCCTGCCTCTGTCATCTCAGCAGGACAAGGTCACAAGCAGGATATTAGTGGAGTGTGGGGGAAGGGAACCACTGTGCTTGTGGTGTGTGTGTGTGTGTGTGTGTGTGTGTGTGTGTGTGTACCTGAAAACTGCAGAAACTCAGCTGTTTATAGTTGCATTCACATATACCTTTCTGGGCAAGTTGGATTTGTTTGTTCCTGGGTCCTCCCCCAGTTTCCTTCCAGGCTAAAATCTGACATCCAGTCCCTTAAATCTTTAACTTCAAACAGTTGCTGAAGTGCCTTTCCTCAGATTACTACTCTCTGACTGCCTTCCCCACCACACTTTTTTGTTTTTCTGATGGCCTCCCTTGGCCCCTGATTTCGCTTTCTGCTATTCTTTTTTTTTGTCTTAGAAGTTCAAAATTAACATTTATTCATTCATTTGACAAATATTTATGGAGCATCTGTTATATTTCACACATTCTTGCAGGCTCTGGGAATACATTTGCAAACACAACAGATGAATCTCCGTCCTTAAGGGCTTGGTGACAATGTGATGATAAGGGTGGAGAGTGGCAGAGGTGAGATGGTGGAGGGCCTTGTCTGCTTCTCCAAGAGGGACCGTGAACCTCCCCCTGCTGTTCCGAGTGTCCCCGTGGACAGCAGCCTGGGCATCACCAGAGAACTCGTTAGAAATGCAGACTCTCAGGCCCCACCTGGACCCACAGAATCAGAATGTTCACTTTAACAGGGTACCCAGGAGGGTTATGTGCACTTTACAATTTGAGAAGCCCTGGTGGAGGCAGTGTGGAGCTCTTAATTCCCTGTTTTTAAACCCTGTGTTACCCGCTTCTGAGAAATCTTGGCCCCATCATCCCAGGGACATGAGAAAGACCCAAATCGGGTTGCATCAATTATGTACTCTTTTGCTCTGCATTAGTTTCATATTGTTGCTGTAACAAATTGCCACAAACTCAGTGGCTTAAAACAACACAGTCTTACAGTTCTGTAGGTCAGAAGTCTGGTGGGTTCTACTGGTTTCTCTCTTTTAGGTCTCTTAAGGCCAAAATCAAGGTGTCAGTGGGGTTGGGCTCTGGGGGAGAAGCCACTTCCAGTCTCCTTCAGGTTGTTGGTAGAATTCCCTTCCATGTGCTTGTAGGACTGAGGTTTCCTTGCTGGCCATTGGCCGGGAGTCAAGCTCAGGTCCTAGAAGCACCCGCGTTTCCTGGCTCTTGACCCCCTCCACTTCCAACTATGAAAACTTCATGCTCTGAATCTCTCCTGCCTCTTCTCCCACCACATCTCTCTGACTCTCTTGCCTGCCTTGTCCACTTTTCAGGGCCCATGTAATTATACTGGGCCTACCTGGAAAACCTTAAGTCCACCCACAAAGCCCCTTTAGCCGTGTAACGTTAACAG